CGTAAGTCAAGATCTCTTAGATGATACACTGGCTGACCTCTTCATCTTACTCCATCAGTAGCTGCTTTCCAAATTATTGCTATGCTTCTCTTTTTTTTTTTTTTTTTTTTGGGGGGGGGGTAAGGTTTCCTATAGCATTGCAAAAAGAAATGTGAACAAGCTACTAGGAAACTGAATTAAGCATGAATATATTGATAAGGTCAAAAAAAAAATTCTATTCTAGTCCTGTTAGCCTTTAATAGGCCAGTGTTTTCTTGCCTGATCTCACTTGGCATTCATTTTCATTGCTCATTAGTATTACTATTTTTACATAATTCTTGTTTTACATGTTTTCTGAAAGTGCGGAGAGGTTCAGTCCACCCACTCCACCCTTTTTCTGCAAATGCAGTGGGATTACATTTGCATGAATACCTCTTCAGTTCTCAGATTTTAATACCCCCTGTTCAGCATATGTGCAATGCAGGAAAAGCTTGGGAGGCATAACCATCAGTCACTGTACCACTAAGCAAATGTCCAAGTTCAAAAGGTAGCTAGCTGCTTTTATTTTAAAGCTTGGCAGGAGGTATCTCCCTTCCACCCAGTTATGTCTGAAAGAGTAGTTACTGTGGGTCAGCCTTGGCTAGACTCCGTCATGCTTTGGTGTGCTCTGGATGCCCATGGCACTACTACCAGAGCAAACTGCCTGCGGATCATGTCAGAAAACGTTTGACTTCCTGAAGGAGATGTGAGGGAACTGGACAAATAATACACTGTGGTGTTCTGCTGTCTTTACTGTTTTTTTTTTCCCCTCTGCAACCATTCATGCAGAGTTTAATTTATGACCTTGGCCTAGCTATACATGTTCAGTAAATGGGATGAGCAGTGCCTATCAGATTTAATGGATTCATTAGAACTTTTTCTTTTCAGGGGATCTGATAAGGTTTTTATTTACAATTTTAGAGCTTCACATGCACAATTAGGAACATAAACAAGTCAAAAATTTCCACTATTCAAAGTTATATATATATATATATATATGTGTGTGTGTGTGTGTGTGTGTGTGTGTGGTTTGGAATAGTAACCTGTCAAATAGTTAGGGTCAGTGTAAGGATGGGATCCAAAATACATTGTTGTTGGGAATTAAAAAAAAAAAAATCCAAACAAGAAGGGTCCAGTTTTGGTAGACAGGTAGATTTACAGACTGTGAGGGCTCCTTTTAGCCTGCTGTGGATAATAGTGTGTAGGGGGTTCCTGGCAGAGCAGCAGCTGCAGGCATTCTGCCTTCAGGAGGTTATGGTTGGGTATGGCAAATATCCTTCTAGAAGAGGAGGAGGAGGATAGAACGGAACATCTTTTTCTACTTTTGCTGAGAGAGAAAACGAGGCTCTCGCTAGCATGAGCCTCCTGTGACGTGTGTGGGTGTTGCAGCCCTGCCCTCCTTCCCTTCCATCACAGACTGCTCCAGAGCATGCAGTGGGCAACTCCTGTAAGGAGCCCTTGTTCCGCAAGGCGGAGAGGGGGAAAGGGCTTTGCATGTTGGCAGTGTAGGAGTTAGCTTTGCGTTATGCCATCTGGGAAAAACTTCTGCTTAAAGCAGCAGTTCTAAGAAATATTCATTCTTTCATTGCGCACTGAAAATTCACAAAACTCTAAATTTAAACATGAAGATGGGGGAGATGACGTGAAAGTTGTTACAGGGTTAATTCAGCTAACAAAGATCTTGAATGAACATTTATTAGATTTTTTTGTAAAAACATCTGATTTTAAGAATCTTGGCAAAAAGACTATGTAATGAAATTCAGCCACCGTCACTGCTAAAAAGTAAATGTGGGAATCTTATGAACCAATCCTCATTTTCTTTAAAATGAGTTAAATTGGCAGCACTTGCAGTACTGTTATCTGGCCATATAGAAAAATAACATCCTTCTCTGAAATCTCCAGCTTGCGGAGGAAAGGTTTCTTTAACTACTTTATTTTAAATGGACTTTGTTTTAAGAAGTTTTTAAATGTATTCAAGCATATTTGCATAGGCTGTTAATATTGCAGTTGCAAGGACCAGCTTACTTTCTTGAACATGAATAATGGATGCAGAAGAAAAACGAACCAACTAGGTACTGGGCATATGTAGGATGTATTGGCTTTTATGGGCAAAAGGTGGTCTGTAATATATTTGGTAAGAACTTGGTTTGTCTTTTTGAAATGTTTTCTCTTTGCTTGTCTGTATAGTTCGAGGTTTAAAAGTGTAGTATGGGCATCTAGCTGATACTGCTGCATTGCATCACAGCTGTGTTGGGGATTCTGTGAAACAAATGGACAGCTTTGTCAGCCAAGAACTAGAGTGTATTGTATGTCTCTTTCCAACATGGTATTTTAGGTCATAAAATATTATCCAACGAAATGTTATCTACTCGAAATATATGCAGCCAGTGCTACTGAGAAGACTTTTTAAGGTTTGTTTACAGCAGGAGGGAAGTGAGAGAGGAAAAAAAACGGAGGGTAGAAGCTGAAAACTTAACTTCTGTAGTAGATACCAGGTACTCTGCGCTGCAAACTCTTTTTCCCCTCTAAGGTAGGAAGCTGTGGTGATGAAAGTTAACTGTATTGCCTCAGTATTTTGGGGTCCTGTTTTGCCACATTATATAGTAGTTCCTGACATGATCAGCCCTCAGTCACCTCTCCTACCTTCCAGAGACCGAATCTCGAGTGTATGGTGTTTGATATTAGGTAATGAGTTTCAACAAACAGAGAAGCTGTTTACTTCCTTCCCTGTGCATGTAACCTTTTCACGTTCAATAGGTACAAATTGTTGCTCTCTCTGCCTCTCTCTGGACAACTTACCTTTTTTTTCCCCCCCTGTAAAGTCTTACTGATACATATTTAGTCAGCTCCAAATAATCATTCTTAACTGTTACCGCTTTGTGTACTGTTTCAGAGCTGAGGAAGAGCTAATATATCTGAAAACTTGTGTACTTTTTCAAACCAGACCAACTGATTTAATAGAAGATTGCCTCTATCTATAAACCTTGCCTTGTCTGTCGTAATCTACTGATAGGTCACAGGCAGCTTAGGAATTTTCCCTTCCTGTTTGTATTGCATAGTTCTAGTTATCCTCGAGTAACAGAAGAGGTATCTCCTGAGTAGCACAGAGTAACGTGATTTAGCTTATTCTTAGCTGGAGGATTTCTTCCTTGTAGGACTGTGTCCATATCAGCAACTGTTCATAAATAATGCATTAGAGCAACATCCGCTGTTTGCCGTTCTCTGTCCTTCCTATTGGCATTCGCTTGCTGAAGGTTTAGTACAGTGTTCTGATGGCCGTGGTCACTACCCTGCTTTTCGGTCCTTCACCGTAGATTGCTTTGAGCTTGATCTGAGGAAAATGATGACAACGATGAAAATGCAAATGGTCAGAAAGAAGCAGCAAGAATGCTGACACTAAAAGATTTACTCTGGGTCTCCAGTCTCAGAGATGAAATCTTTGCATAACGCTCTGTTCCAGAATGCCAACAGCAAAAAGCCAGCCTCATCCTGATGTTCCTGTCCCTGCCTTTCTGTCCTTCATGCCATATGTACTGTCCCCGGGTACTTAAATTGTTTATATTTAGTCCTGGCATGCATTCCCTCTCTGTTACCCTAAGGGAAAAGTTGCTTTGCTATATGCCATTTTGCTAACTGCGGCACTTCTCAGGGCTGCATCCCTGGCGAGGTCGTGGGGTATGTCTGCATAACACCTTCATGTGCAGACCAGACTGAGCTTGTGTGAATCTCTGTCGTCCGAAAGCGAAGTTATCTGACTGTGTAGTTTTAGTCTTTAAAAAATGCTGAGGCAGTCCTCAGCATTAATCTGCCTGTGGAAATGAGTTGACGGAAGGGTCAAGTGTGACGTGCTTCTGGGCTCCTCCTTTCTTTTTGTATGCGTTACAGTTGGGAATACGAGTCCTCGCCCTTCTTTTTACTGTCTGCCTCTCGCTCTTTGGCAGTAGCAAAGGTTGCAGCAAACCCTGGACGTGAGCCAGAAGCCCTGTGTTACCCTTCCCTGTCCTTTCTTCCCTTGCATCCTTCTGCTTTGGACCCCAGGAGCAGTCCCCTCAGGAGGGCAACATCTCCCCTTTTCTGACTCCCGGTGCTCAGTTTGCTAGGCCCAGCCGTGCCTTTCCTTCTCGCCCCTCCCCACCTCAGCCAGGCAGCAGCACCCGGCTGGCCGGGAGGCAGCGAGGACCTCTCCTCCGCCCTTCGCAAGGGGC